TGTCCGGGGGGGGGAGGGGGGCGGGCAGAGAGGGCGCCGGCACAGGCGCCCAGCTGTCGTCGTCGTCGTCGCCCAGTTCCTTCATACTGATTTGGACACGGAGTCGGAGGGAGCCGGTGCCCGCGAGCGAGGGCGAGAAACGCTGGCGGGCCATCCCACGGCCGTGCGCTGCGTGGCGCAGGAATCCGTGGGAATTGCCCTCCGCGGAAGGGGATCCCGAGGCAGGCGCCTGGGCTGCTCTTTCCTGGTGGGACTCGCCCCGGGCGACGCTCGGCATGGCGGGCGGGGAAGGAGGGGTGGGTTTGTCCCTGACAGCCGCCCAGCCCCCCGGCTCTTGCGTTGGGTCGCGCGCACTTACTGAGCTCAGAGAGACGTCAGAGGGCCGACGGCGTTGCGGGGGGAGAGCGGGGGGTGGGGTGGGGTGGGGGAGAGAGCTTTGCCTGCCTGCCAGCCCGGAATCGTTTCCGGCGTCCCGGCTGCAGTCCCGCCGCTTGCTCCTGCCTGCTACACGGCGGCGCATCTGCCCCTCAGCTGCGTGGGTGCCATCGGATTTTGCAGACCTCGCTGGAGTCTGCAGGTACCTCGCTGTATGAGGGACGTGCCCGAGGCGACTCCCTGAAAAAACTGGCACCTGAACACTCTCAGTCGACAGGACCTTACTGCCTTCCCACGAAAAGATACATGAACTACAGACTAGGGCTACTTCTGAGAGAACAGGTTAGCAAGGCCCCTTTCATCTGCAAGCACTTGGGCTTCATGGTAAAACTTGCTCTGGCTTTTGAAAGCCAACTGATAGTTTTAAGATAGAGTCAGGTGGGAAGCCATGTTGGTCTGAAGCAGCAGAACAAAGTTTGAGTCCAGTGGCACTTTTTAAGACCAACAAAGTTTTATTCAAGGTGTGAGCTTTCATGTGCACACACATTTCTTCAGATATCTGAAGTATGCGTGCACAGGATAGCTTATACCTTGAATACAGCTTTGTTGGCCATAAAGGTGCCACTGGACTCAAACTTTGTTCAATTGTTTTAAGGTCTCACACACCTTAAAACACAGGCCTTCTTACAGTTAATGAAGCCTTAATCCATGTTTTCCAAAACCTGTTTTGAGCTGGGGGTGGTTGCACTGTATCCCTTAGATATGTAAAAACCCTTTTAAAAAATCAATTTGGCTTCAAGCCAAAGCAAGTTTAAAGAGCCCTTGTGAAATCAACCCAAGATAGGCCAGTAGATGCACCTCAGTAATGTTGAGTGCTGAAGGCATTAAAACAAAAACCAACAACTTGGGCCACATCTTCCGAAATAATTTTATTCCAGATGGTGATCTAAATATTCCAAAAGTCACATTGTTCTGCATCTATCAACACTGTCCTGAGATACATGTCAGAAGTTGTGGGCGTCATTAAAAGGCAAGTTCAGAACTAGTCGCTACCTTGCCAGGTGGCTTCAGAGCTTAGCCCCAACATGTTGTCACCATCTCACAGGATTTCACTATATGAAAATAATGCAAAACTGGATTTTGTTAGCAGCTCTGGCCATGGGACAGTTTCTCCCACTGGATTTACCCTGCCCAGTGTACTTGCCTAGAGAAATGTTCTGTGATTTAACTGTTAAAGCATCGCCCTCTTGTGGATGAATATTGCACCCACATTTATTATGAAGGCTCTCTGGAGCGTCGGTAAGGCCTCCTTCTTTAGGGTGGCTCTGCTGCCACAACATGGTAGGTTGCATGATGAATGAAACCCACTCAGATGGTTCTGAAACAACATTTCCCCCCTAAAGGTAGGAATAACAGCAACAACAAAATCTAGTATAATTTTTCACAATTAGGAAATTAGAATAGGATCAGGCTGAAGGCTAAGTATTTTTGCAGTTGTGTCACAAAGAATATAAAGATTTTTAGAAGATACAGACTTTGATCCCTCTAACAGAAGACCCCCCCACACATCCTCTGGAACAGGATGAGGGGAATTTCAGGTTGCTGTGAGGGGCAGAGGGTGAGAAAGATGTGTTCCATTAAAAATTCTTCCACCTGTGATAAAACTTCAAGGGATTTAAGCAATAATGGATGGTGCTAACTTCCAGTCATTAAAAAAACCCCAAAACTCAGCCATCTAAGCTTTATAGCATTCTTTTTTTGAGGCAATATCATCTTTCTGATTTTAAACAATGTTACTGAAAGCAAGGAAGTGTTCAGTAACAAATGTTTAGGGACGCCCTGAAAGTCTTTAGATCTTGTATGGGATATTGTGTTTAGCTCATTTAATGGCTAATCGCATTGGGAAAGTAGAAAATCAAAAGGCAAGATGGATGTGTAGCGGTTAGAGTATTCTACTATAATCTGGGAGACCCTGGTTTTTCCCCACTCCCATCATGGAAGCTGGGATAATCTTGGACCGGTCAGACACTCTCAGCTGAACCTACCATAGGAATTTGGTGAGGATAAAATGGAGGCAAGACAAATAATGTAAATGCGTTTTGGAAAGAGGCAAGGTATAATGGCAGCAAATAAATAAAATGTTGGTGGGGCTGATCAAGCAACCAGAATATGCAGTGTGTTTTCATTTAAGGGATGCAACAATTCAAGGTCATAATAGCCACTGGTGCATTAAAACAGATCTGAAGAGTGGCATATCTTCTGGAGAAGTCGGGAGCAGGATTCCCTTCCTTTCTAGTGCATATCAAATATTGCTGGCACCTGTTTCGCAAAGCTTTTGTACCAGTAACTGATATACCATAATACAGGCTATGGATACAGGTAGCAGTAGGGCGTTTCCCAACTGAGAGATCAAGAAATAGAACACCAGAGTTTTGTCTGAAACCACTGGCATGATCCTACAAGTTTTCATTAATCCAGTTGAAGTAATTCTGGCTGTAATCCTAAACACTCACCTGGAGAAAGGTAGGACATGCACTTGTGAGTACACTTTAGTTAAGATGGCACTGCTCCTTGCCTGGGGGTATCCCTGAAACTGTGACTGTGTCAGTGCCCCCACACATCTCATGATGACTTCACAAGCTACTAGACTGGTATAAAAGCAAGACACGTTTGCAGTGAAGGTAAGTCCTATCTTTTATTTTCCTCCCTAATGGTATTTTAATTGAAAGACCAAAGAGAACAGTGACATATTGTTATTCTAAACACTAAAATGTAAATACTGAACATGCAAATAACTTTTCGGGCAGGGAAATCACTTGTGAACTGAGTAAGCAGAGATGAACTCATTGGCCCTGAATCACATACAGAAACAGGTTTCTGAGTGTTGCTCCATGCTGCTGCAGGGCTGGGTGGTCCTTTGTATTCAGCAACTTTTCTTCCCCAGTTCCGAGATCCACAAATGCAGCATCAAGCCCACTCCCCCCCCATCCCCCAGTCTGGGAAAAGGAAGGTCGTATAGGAAGCCACTTCCCTGCTCCTGCTAATCTGTTCAGTGTAGCTCCCACTGGATCTGTGCTGTGGAGGACATTGATTAATCCGTATACGGCCGTATCATATTGTCTACATGGTGGTGTCGTACTTTTGCTACTACATAGTAACTTTCACCTCAGCAGAGCTACTATTGGCATTTCTGCATATATTGCAACCATAGGCCACAAATGCTTTGGCCCCACTGTTTTGAGGAGAAACCACTTGCTTCCTCAGGTATTGCACTGGAAAGGTGCTAGAAGTTCAGTGCTTCACTTAGCACTGTAATTGCAGGTTTGTCGTGTCAGCTGCTGCAAAAGAGTGTGACTAACATTAGTTTGAAATGCAGACAGACAAAGTATATTGTTATAGGAAGGAAAATAATTGCATTAACTAGCTGTACATGAGCCTGGAAGAAACATTCATGCAGGTTAAATTAATAAAAACCATACATACTTTTGTTATTCCTGTTGCAAAAGTTGGAACACAACTGGAAATGGATATAATTTTGGTTGGTTAAGTTTTGAGTCAAACAGGACCCTAATGATTTTCCTGATCTTTCTCACAATCCTGCTCTTAGAACTGAATCCCGTTTTACACATTAGTTACAGACACCTAACTCTAATGTAACTGTATGCTGAAGTTAGCAGTTTGCAGTTAATATACTGTACATATACAGCATTTTTGATGGCATTAACAGAATTCAATGAAAGAAAGCAACGTCAAAATCCTGATCTTTGGCTCTACCTTCATCTTAATTCCAGTGTAGGACTTAATGTTAAGAACTTTCCTGCATGTCCCCTCTGGTGGGACAGGTGAACACTAGCAGTCATTTTCTTGGTATCTTTGAACATTCTTTTTTGTGAAGCAGGCAGCCAGAAGCATTGCTCAATGAAACATACTTTTGCGTAGCCGTAGACATGGTAGCTGTCTCACTGGAACCTTAGCCACTACCTATTGGCTCACAAGAGCATTTAGTTGAAACTCAAGTGCAAAGAACGGTCTGATGTTGATACAGGATCTTGCCTGGTTTGTAATCTAAGTGGACATATCTACCCTTTGAGCTGGTAGACAGGATTACGGAGTTCTGATTCTCCCTCCCCAAGTTATGGTCAGCTGCCTCGACCCTTAGAACACATGGAATTTGTAGTGACAGGTGGCTGAGCTGGAAACTCTTGAGAAACACCAAATCATGACACAGTTTGCATTCAGGTTCTTTGGGCAACCTAACGCTGTAAAAAAAATAATCAAAAACTGATGCTGCTCACCTGGCATGAGAGTTCTAGATGCAGGCCTCTTCCCCACAAATTGATCAGAGGAGAGGGAATAAAGGGAGCATGTACTGAACACCCACCTCTCGGTCCTGCCTCACCTTATCAACTGGGCATACTGATAGGCCCCACCTCCTGCATGATGCTGGAAGAATCTGTAGCCCCATGTGACATAACCACTTTGTCTGGGCTGGCATTGACACCAGTTTTACTTTGCTTAGTCTCAATAATGCCAGTAAGATCCCAAGTTACCAAAAGCCTCAGTCTTATTGCAGTAGACCCTAGCTGTCAGGCGGAAAGGGGGTCCCCCTTGATACCTTTCTTCTTTACAAAACTGGCATGGGGACAAAGGGCAGTAGAAATGGGGCCGATGATAACTGCAGTGTTGCCGTTGTCCTCTCCCTTCCCTTCTACATAATGGATATGAGGAGAGATCAGAGCAAGCACAAGCCAGGCTAACAAGAATGCAACACACCACTAAGCACAGAACAACAGATCGTTGGGGCACTGGTAGAGCACTACTCAATATAAACCTGCATTATATACTGGGATGAATTTAGAGAACTGCACTTTCAGTTAATTACATGTAATAGCACTGAGCAGATGAAGCAAAGGAAAAATACTATGCAACATTTGACCATCAAACTGTTCTTCTACCTTTAGGATTCCTAAAGTCAATCAAGAATTTTATTGTAACGATAACGTAATCTGTCATTTGCACAAGTGTTTCTTATGCCTACATTGCAATAAATAATGTAGTTAAATTATAAGCTTGGAACATTACCCTCTGAACATACAGATCAAAGTACTGTGTACAGGAATGAATGAGCAAAAAGATAAATTAACATTGACTCTAAAGCAGATATGATTTGTGACTTAGAATGCAACAGGGTATGTTAGGTCATATTTTGTATAGCATTTTCTGTACAACTATTTTTGACATGACATAACACTTTCACACCAATCTCAAATCATGACCTCAGTATTATTAAAGAGAAAAAAAAATCAATCCTATGTGTGTGGATTTCTAGACAAACAGAAGTAAAACCACTTTAAATTTGACTTAAAGCCTTTTTATTGTGATCACCAAGTCCATACTATTTTACAAAATCTTAATACAAAACACTTGAGGTTTCATAGTAGCAAATAAGAACCACCTATAAAACACATATTTTAAATAAAGTTCATTTACCAAGTCCTTCAAATGGATTTTATTTGATCAGATTTCTGATCTGAAGATATTTTGTTTCACAGGTTTCCACCAAGGAAACAGGATGCTTCTCCTTTTCTTTAGTTTGAACATTTCTTGAAGTCAAAGCTATCTTAGTGCACACATAAAATACAAATGTGCAATTTTAAGAGGCATTTTTTTTGCAGTTCTGTACAGAAGTCATTCAATCAATGGATGATTTTTCTGAACAAGTTTAGTAACATCTCCGAGAACATTCCTTAATACTCTCTGATATTATAGAGGCACAGTTTACACAAAACCACTCCCATTGCTGTCTTCTCTCTCCAGTTCAAAATCTGGAACGAGAGAAGCGGTGCCAAAGCACCTGATTGACTGCAGTAAACTACTTTGCTATTTTCAGCTAGGTTGGTTCCATACCACTTCACTGGCAACAGAAAGAAAACGTGTGAGACCAAATTTTTGCAGCCAATTAGAATTTAGGATTTACTTACTACTGTTTTACTTACTGAATTTAGGATTTACTTACTGCTCATTTAGCGCAACTTGCATCTTAACTCAGAAAGAGTGGTGATGCAGATACTACTGCAGTAAATTAAACTAAACAAACTTATGTGACTCATCTAAGAGGAGCGGTGTCAAACTGGAAGAGTGAACTTGCATATTATTGTAGCTTCTCTGTAACTGGGAAAGCTTGCATTCTCCTGGTGGGGGCAATCTCACATGAGTTCATACTTCCAACTGTACAGATGACTTTCATAAGCAGTACTGTCTCACCAGCTCATAGTACCACAGATAATAAGTGAACATTATAGTATTTACTCTGAACTGCACTGTGGAGTTCTTGATACTTTTATACCTAGTAAATGAACTATTTATTTATTATTATATTCAATTCTTACTGGATAATTCTTACTATTCAGTTCTTACTGGATAATTCTACTAATTTTGTGAAATAGTTTGTTCCCCACCCTCCATAAACATCAGCAATAGAATGCAGAATTGTTGAGTCCTACGTATCATGTTTTCATGCTTCCCCATTTTACCCTTAATGCACTATTTTCATGTTTTACTTTCCAGTGCTCTTGTATACAGAATAGACCATTTCCCTGCACCCATCCTAAATAACAGTTGCAAGAACTGATGATTGTCAAAAGAAGACTCAGTTCTTTTGCTGCATCACACAACTTGCACTGCATACACAAATGCTTATTGTTGTGTAAATAATACACAATCCAATTGTTCTTCATACCCCAGGTGGTGATGTCCTGACTGCACAGCCTTTGATATAATGGAATATAATTTTGATTGCATTTTATCTTTCACATCCAGGGCTCCCATCCTTCCCAAACTCTGCCCAGGATATTTGAGTCTGTGGCTTGGTCTATAAGGCACTTCACCTGTATTTCTTCTGAAAGACCATCTTCTGCCTCTTTGGCTCGGATATTATGTTCTTTGCTCCCTCGTGCTACAGATACATAATATCTGTAGGCAGATGATTTTTCGTGGCCCAGCCGCAATTCATCACTTTAATAAAAGACATTAAAAACAAATACTGTTTATTTGAGAAATGTGTCAGTTGAATTTCCCTAACTAAGGCTGCTTCCACACAGGATTGTTTGTTTGTTTGTTTGTTTTGGGGGGGGACACCTCCACACAACACTGTCCTGCAGTCATCCTCTTTCAAGGCTTTCCTAGCCCTCAATACGCTTCCCCAAATCTGCTGCAGTTTGATGTTTTTTGAAAGAATGCTGTCCATGCATGCTATTGCATTGCCTGGAAGGAGCCGTGTACATTTTCCTGCCCTGCAGAAATCCCACCCACATCAGCAACATTGCCCCACCGCCAGTCCCTTTTGGGCACCACTCTCCCACCATTTTTCTCCTACCAAACCACTGCAGGACTTTTTGCAGGCTATTAAAAAAGTTAGTAATTCCTATTGCAATATAGGATAATTATACTATAATGATTTACAGCCACAATCTCTTTCCATTTCAAGATTTAGCTCCTCTGAATTCCTGGTTTTGTTTGTTTAAAAAATGAAGTCTCCAGCCCTTTTTGTTGCAGGGATACAAGAAAAAATGCAGGTCATTTTTGTCCAAACTGCCTGGAAGGAAAGGAAAGGGGAAGGTGCAAGAGAGCTGGAGTGGGACAGGAAGTCAGTAAATGGTGGAACCTGAAACAGGTCAAACAGTGATTTCCCCACATAACAGGTAAAGGAAACGAAAGGTGAGGAGCAAGGTTTCAGGGGGAACAGTACTATTTGTATGCTGATGGTGTGCTGTAACAAAGGTATGAAGATTTGTTTTTTAAGGCGGCGAGTCGCTAAATCGTTCCCCTCACCTTCAGTTCCTTGTAGGTCATGGCTTGTTCTTTTCTTTGAAAGTTCAAAAAATTAAAAAATGCAAAGTACTTAAGAGACTTACCTGGTGATCACAGCTGGATTGGCACCAGCTAATTTTCTTCTTGCAAAATTTACTTTTTGGAGGGGATACCAATTCACTTCATCCATATTTATGTCTTTAGTCCATGTTCCACCTTTTTTCAACTGTTTGAGTTCAAAATTCTAGGGAGAGATTCACATATAAACCCATGAAGAATAATCTCATGGATAACCACAGTATTCATCACATGATATATGCCTGATATTTCAAGCCATATACAGAAATGTGATTGATATGCATAGCATATTTTATTATAATTAAAAGTTAGTGCAAAGTGATATTCGTAATTTCCTTATTTCTTAGATGCTCAACAGAAACAGTAGCATATTATTTATTTATTTATTACTTTAACTTTTACCCCGCCCTCCCCACCGAGGCAGCCTCAGGGCGGCTTACATAAAGAAACACTAGAAAACAATAATATCAATATCAATATAAAATACAAGATAAAATTATTAAAATTATTATATGACCACATCAAGAAAAAACAGGTAGTTTACCTGTAACTGATGATCTTCAAGGGGTCATTTGTGCAGTCACACACGAGTTCTGCGCCTGCACTCGAACCCGACTTCAGAGAACTACAAGAACTAGCCTCTGGTTTTGGCACGCTTCCTTCTCATGCTCTGGGGAGCAGACATTGACTGCGCATGTCTGGAGCGGGGGAGGAAATGCCCCCTCCCACTCAGTTTCTTCCAGCCACCGCTAGCAAGTCCCAGAAAGACAAGGACTCCTTGTCTGTCCATTGGGAGGAAAGCACATTGCAGGGGAGTGCAAATCCATGCCCCTATGAACTGCAGATCCTGGACAGGAGCCAAGTGGGACTTGGAGAGGTTCATGCAGACCCAAGGATGCTAGTAGCCAGAGCATGGTGGACACATCTCGACAAAGCTGATGCTGGGAGTGGGAGATTAGCAGCCAGTCGTCGATGTAGAGAAAAACAGTTAGACAATGACAGCTGCATTGTCAGAGGAAAGCAGCAACCTCTGCCATGCACTTTGTGAAAACTCTTAGTGCCATTGAGAGGCCAAAGGGGAGAACTTGGTATTGGTAGTGGTTGGGTCCTACTGTAAATCTCAGGAAACAAGAATATTATGGATGGATGGTGATGTGGAAATAGGTGTCCTGCAGATCGAGAAATGCCAGCCAGGTGCCCTTGGGGTTCAGGGGGAGGATGGATTGAAGAGTAATCATCTGGAATTTTTTGTATGGAATGTAGTGGTTGAGTTGTCACAGGTCCATAATGGGGTGTTTGCCTCCGTCCCATTTTGGGACAATAAAATATTGGATGTAGAATCCTTTATGATGTTGAGTTTGAGGGACATGCTCTATGGTTCCCTTGGCTAGGAAACCTTGAACTACTTCTTGGAGGAAGCTGGAGGGGGGCATCACCACAAAATGAGGGACGTGCGGGGTCAAAAGAAACTTAATGGTGTATCCTAGGCGAATGATGGTGAGGACCCAGGTGTCTGTGGTGATGCATTCCCAGGTGTCGATGAAAGGGCATAGCCTGGTGCCCCAGGACGGGGTAACCAATGGAGGGTGAGGAGGACTGTGCCAGAGAGTCAAAGAGACTGTTTTGCAGGAGGTGTTGCCTTTTTGGAGTAAGGGCCTCTCGGCTTCTGGTGGTACAGTTGTTTGGCCAGGGGAGCCTTGTGTTTCGACTAGTCTGACTGATGGGGAGACCGAGAACATTTGGTCCCGCTGGGCTTCCAGGTCTTGAATCTGGGGTTTGTGGTTGTGAGGACTGTGATGCCCCTAAACTGCGAGCTCTTTTACAGTTATCATCTATGTTAGTGAGGGTCTCATCCGTGGAGGCATGGAACAGGCCTTCTCCATCAAAAGGTAGATCCTCCACCTTCGATTTTATGCCAGGTTGTAGGGTGGTAGAGCATAGCCAAGCGTGTCTTCTAAGGCCGACTGAAGTAGCCATGGCCTTCAATGAGCAGGATACTGCATGATGAACAGTACTGATTTGTTGTTTTGTCAATTTAGACAATTTGTTGAGAAGAGTAGTAGCAGTCTTCTGGGAGGCCTCGGGCAGTTCTGTAACCAAAGTGGAAAGCTGGTTTGTCAGATGAAAGAAGTAGGCCGAAAAGTACGCTAAGTAGTTGTGGATCTTGGCTGTCGTAGTGGTGACTGCATACATCTTTCGCCCCGGGGTATCCAATTTACGGCCTTCATGGTCTGATGGTGCAGGGTGTTCAGCTTGTTTGGATTTAGAGGCAGAGTGCACTATGATGGAATTCTGAGCTGGGTGGGAGAAGAGAAATTTCGAGTCCGACGGTTGGACTTGGTAGAGAGTGTCAAGGCACCTCGATGTTGGTGGGATAGAAGTGGGTTTGTCCCATGCCTATCGGAGAACATCTAGGTGAACTGGGAGCATGGGAAGTAAGGATGCTGGCAGAAGGTCCAATTGTACTAGTTTGTGGACTAGATCCATAACCGTTGGGGCGTCACTGGTGAGCTGAATGTTCAAAGCGGCAGCCATGTGAGTCACCAGTTCGAGGTAAGCCTTGGACCCCTCCAAGGGTGATAAAGAACCCCAATGAACTGTGTCCGAATCCGGGGAAGTATGAAGTGATCCAAGTGAATAATCTTCCGAATCCAACCCCTTGGACCCGGCATCTGATGGTTCCGAGGCAGAGGTCTGGAGGCCAAGTTTGTTCATTGGTGCGGCTGATGTTGGCATGGGTTGGTCCACTGGCATGTTGATCGAGGGCCTAGGAGGGGTGGCAATGGTAGCTGTTGGAGAAGCGGAAGGCAGCTGTATGATGATGGGAGCATCTGGTGGACCAAAAACTAGTAAGTCTTCCAATTGGTATGGTGAATAGGGACGCAAGTAACGGTCCTGATCTTGGTATGAGGAACGGGATGGAGATTTGTAACGTTCCCAAAGGGATCAAGGAAAACGCTCCCGTTGAGATTGATTTTGGGACTGTTGCGCCCATTGGTACCAACCAATCCTTCGACTTGTGCGATTTGTTCTGTTTCGGCACGTCAGGAGACAAGGCCCTTTGGACTGTTTGTCGGTCTCACGCTTTGAGGCCGTTAAGGCCACAGAGGTTGCCGACTTGGCCGAATCTCCCCTCTGAGCTGGGGGAGGTGGTGAGGCTCTAGAGTTTGAGGACTGGGACATCACTGGGCGCAAGGAGGCCTCCAGGAGGTGGCGCTTCAGTCTCGCAGCTCTATTATTTCAAGCCGGTTTTCTAAAATTACTGCAATGGGTGCAGGAATCTGGTTTGTGAGCCTCACCCAGGCAGAAAAGAAACAGTGAATGTCCATCGGTGGTAGGGATGTTCCCCTCACAATTTTGGCAATGTTTTAAAATGGGTCTTCCCTTCCATGCGCCACCGGCAGGGTCCAAGGGGAAGGGGGTGGGGGAAGACAATGACAAGGGAGAAAAAACTCACAGAAAGTTCTTTTTGTTTTTTGGGTAGAGGTATTGTCGACGGAGACGAAGAAAACAGCAAAGACGGTGAGAAGAACGAAGCAAAATGAAGAAGAGGCATATAAGGTAGCTCAGTAGGAGGAATACAGCGAGGTAGGTTTGACCAGGGCAATGGTCGAAAAGAAACTGAGTGGGAGGGTGTTTCCTTCCCTGCTCCAGACATGCACAGTCGATGTCTGCTCCCCAGAGCGTGAGACGGAAGCACGCCAAAACCAGAGGAAGTGTGCCAAAACTTGCTCTTGTAGTTGTCTGAGGTTGGGACTGCACAGAGACCACGAAGAAGATCATTGTTTTACTTGCAAGCTGCCTTGAGCAGGACTCTCAAAAGGCAGCACGGAAATATCCTAAATAAATTAATAAATAGAAATTGTTGCCCAACAGAATAAACAGTCATACAAAATTGTGTGGGCAGGGATTCCTGTTGCTTCCCCCATTAGCTGTCCTCCCCCATCAGTCCCAGAGTCTCCTAAGAGGGGCAGCTTTTTAGAGGCCTGAAATGGGAAAGGGAAAGCCGCAGAGGGCTGTTCCATGAGCCTCTGCTCCTTTCGCAGAAGGGATGGACCCAACCCAGCCCCACTCTCTGTTGCCTCTCATAGCCCTAAAGCTCCCTCCTCCCTTGAATATAGTGTCTCCTGCTCATCATTTCTCCCCTCCTCTCTCCATTAGGTATGCAAAGCTTTTCAGCCACAACCACAATGAATCTATTGGTGAAAGATACAAAGCATACAAATTACTAAATAAAAACATTTCACATCCTCACGTAACCATCCTGTCTTCCTTATATGTCCCAATCTCTCTTGCTTTATGCAGATAAACCAGGACTGACGACAAGACAACCTACTTTCCAATCTAAGGAAGGCTCCTTCACAAATATATCCATTGTATTAATGAGAAGGTCTGGATATACACGGTAGGCTTTTAAGGAATGCACCATCACACTGTAAATAAGGCCGGTTTCCTTCATAGGCAACATCAAATTAATGAACTGGCGCGTCAAACGGAAGGGCATCAGCTCTGGCACAGGCAGAAACTGCACAAGGAAAAGTTAAAATACATTTAAAATAAAAGCTATAAAGAAATAAATAACACAGTAGCTTATCTACTTTTGCTGTCCCCCAGACTAAGAACTTAATAATGATCAATAGCCTGAATTCAAGGGAATATTGAAGGAAAACGGCTTCTAGAGAATAAACATTGGCATATGTTATTCAATTTTTCCTATCCCACTTTCTGTCACTGCAGAACACTTCCATCTGGTTTCCTTCACTAATCCAAGCAGTTCTTCAAACGTTATTCCATTCTGTTGTTAACAGCTGCCGTGGCTTAAAGACAAACTGTTATTCTCACCAACTCAGTTTTTATTTGTGCAGTGATACCATTTATTAATTTTGATTGATTTATACAACCATTACAAATTTCCATATGCGAGTGCAATTTTGAGTTTTCCCAATTTTCAGCACTCCTAATGAGGGTTTGTTTCACTAACAGCAGGAATATTCCAGATGGGCAGCTGAATTTTAAATGCTTTACACTCAGGGGTCCGTTGGGCCTGGAGCGCACTGGAGCACCGCTCTGGCAGCCCAGGAGAGGGCAGAAATGGCAGTGGTGGCAAGCCCCGCCCCCAGCTGCCCAACCCTGACCCCACGCTCCTTCTCTAAACTTTAAACCCCTTCTCTCTTTCCACTATATTCTATGGGCCATAGAATACAATGGAAAGATCTTTAAACTTTAAACTCTTTCTCTCTTCGCTTCTCCCCCACACCTTGGCTGGGTGGGGGGAAGCGAAGAGTGAAGGGGTTTAATGTTTAAAGATCTTTCCATTGTATTCTATGGCCCATAAAATATAATGGAAAGAGAGAAGGGGAGGCATCTTCAAAAGCCTCCCTTCTCCCAGCCAGCCTGCCAAGGTAGACTGGGGGAGGGGAAACGAAGAGAGAAGGGGTTTAAAGTTTAAAGATCTTTCCATTGTATTCTATGACCCATAGAATATAATGGAAAGAGAGAAAGGGTTTTAAACTTTAAACCCCTTCTCTCTTCGTTTCCCCCCCCCCAGTCTACCTTGGCAGGCTGGCTGGGAGAAGGGAGGCTTTTGAAGATGCCTCCCCCCCTTTTGCTTCCCCTTTCTGACATCACTTCTGGTGATGCAGGGGGTGTGGCATATGCTAATGAGCTCCTGCAGCTCTTTTTCTACGAAATGACCCCTGTTTACACTGACAGCTTGACCAGCGAAAAGGGATCCAAAAAAGGAACAAGGAAGAATTTGGAGATATCAATAAACAAGCACATTATTAATTCCCCATAACATTTAAACTTGTATGAAGTAAATAGCAGAAAATGTACATAGGCAGGAAGAATACCTGTGTAGCGGAACCAAATGCATGTCCAAAGTCTATTCCCACCATGCCACCCGTCTCCATGTTGACCATGAAGTTGGACAAATGCCTATCTCCAATACCAAGAATCCAGTGGCTGATACACATCAATGCATGAGAGCTGGCAAAATGGGATCGCAGAGACAGAAAGGCCTCTGGAGTTGTGCTCATCTTAACAAACGCCCTCCTTAAGAGAAGCAAAATGTATATATTAGAAGTTGCACTTCAGCCCTATATTCCATAAATGCCATTTCCTCGGCAGTCAAAAATAATACACTCCAGATAAAGAACTACCTTCCCCCCTTACCTTTCCAGACACATGGCAAAATGCGTAAGAAGATAATAGAAGTGGAGAAGAAGAGATCAGAGTGGCAAAGCCTGATCATCAGAGTTTCAACCTGCACAAGCCAAGAACTGGCCTGGGAGCATGAAAAGGCAGGGAATGGATGTGAAGGAGGGGGATATAAATAACGATGTCTGCAGAGGGGCTGTGGTCCTTTGCCACCTTCAAATGTAACTCATACACATAGTAACCATAGTCCCTAGTATTTCAGAGCCTGTAGTTTATAAAGAGTACACTTACCTTAGCAGGTCTTCAGGCACAAGGTTTTCCCGTTGTTGGAAAGATGTCACTGTCTCTATACGACTAGCTTTTCTGGAAGCAGACAAAATATTAATAATTAGGAACATAACAGAATTGTTTAAAGCAGAAAAAAAATCAATAATAAAATGCAGATCATGTTTTGGTCTTAGTTTACATTTATTTATTTATTGTATTTATATCCCTCAAATCCCTAGAACGGGCTCAGGGTGGGTAACATCATATTACAATAAATACAATTAAAATTTAAAACACAGTATAAACATTAAAATCAGTGGTTGCAGCTTAACAACAACAACAAAATCAGCTGGCTATGAAAGATTCTGGCCCAGATGAAATAATGGCCAGTTACCAGTGGGTGGGTGACAGCAACCTCGGGGGAGGGGGCATAGGTGGACACCCGCTGCCTCAGCCAAAGGCCTGGTGGAACAGCTCCATCTTGCAGATCCTGCGGAATTGAAGGAGATCCTGCAGGGCCCTGATCTCAATGGGGAGCATGTTCCACCAGGCAGGGGCCAGGGCAGAAAAAGCCCTGCTTGAGGCAAGACAGACGTTCCTTGGGTTAGGAACCACCAGAATATGTTGACCCTTAGAGCGTAATGCTCTTCGAGGCATATACAGGAAAAGGCAATCCCTTAGATATGTTGGTCCCAGGCTGTGTAAAGCTTTGAAGGTTATTACCAACACCTTGAAGCTAATCCAGTACTCAACTGGTAACCAGTGCCGTTGGCAGAGCACATGCCGAATGTGAGCCCACACAGGCGTCAATGTCAGCAGGCGCGCCACCGCATGTTGCACCAGTTGCAATTTCCGGGTCAGCCTCAAGGGCAAGCCTTCATAGTAATTGCAGTAATCAAGCCTGGAAGTGACCACTGCATGGGTCACTGTAGCTAAGTCTTGGGGGGAGAGATAGGGCTTCAGTAACCTAATCTGCCTAAGATGGAAAAATGCAAATCTGGCAACTGCAGCAACCTGGGCCTCCACGGAATGAACAGCATCCAGTGTTACTCCCAGGCTCCTTACTGTCTGGACCGGCACCAAAGGCACCCCCCTTCCATCTATCCCAAATAGCCCTTTGAAATGCCTCTCTGTTTTCACTCCATGTCTAGCTTTGGATTTACAAGCTTATGCTGTAAAGCACCATGATGGTGCTGCATAAAGAATAATATATCTTATCTCCAGCATTTATTTAATGTCAATGATATGCTCTGTATAAGAATACAGTCTGCAACTCTCGTCTTCCCCCAAGACTTCAAAATTTCAAAACATCTCTACTACCGACCCACGTGTTCGAGACCACTGATCTAGTAAACCGTCCTCTACCTCATTATTAGCAGTTTTCTATTCTTTTTATGAAACTTTGTTCTTTTCCTTCAATATGAAGACACTTTAGCACAGTCAATTCAGGTTCACAAATATTCTCAAAAACATTTTAACAACTGTGGTATTATTCCTTTCTATATAACTGTTCAATATATGTTTCTTTCTTGGACATCTGCAGGGGCATGGGGAAAGCTGAGCATACAAAACAACTTGCCAGATGAAGCAATTTAGAGCAGCCACTGCACATAAACCAGACCAAAGAGAAAGGAGCAGGAGTATGGACTCCTCTTTAAAGAGAAGCGTAACCCAATCCTTACACTGTGGATGCATGCAAACATTACAGGGCCAGGGTCTGCATTTGATCAGGGAACTTTTCATCTATCAAATGTTTATACCACCCTTTCCTCCATGGATAAACTCTCTCCGTTTATCTTCACAATTCCCCTTTAAGATTGAATGAGATTATCTCAAGGTCATCCCTTTTAACTTAGTCCAATTCTCTAACTAATACATTGCATTTATCCACTACTAAGACTATGGGTTACTTGCACTAAAAGATGCAGCGCCAAGACTCTGGGGATGTCCACACCTTTGCTCCCCATCTCCATCCAGCACCTTTACTGAATATGATCATCCTGTATGCCAAGCAGTGTGATATTACATCTGTTCTTAAAATAATCTCAGCATAAACTCAGTTATTCCAGTTGAATAGTGCAGCCCACAAACCTATCTTTCCCAAGGCAAGGGGGAAAACATACCCAATTTCAAACCTTTCAGGCTTTGTTAATAACAGGTATAAACATGGTTAACTTGGCATGCTTGTATATCCCCCATCGTCTTCTGATGGAGTGTGCTGAGACCAACTAAATACAATTTGTCAAGACACCTACATTTGAAATTTAAAAAACCCTCAAATTTGTCAAGACACCTACATTTGAAATTTTAAAAACCCTCAAACTGTTTAAGATGCCCACACAGGGTTGCAAACAGGCCGGGAGAAAAATGGCCTGTCCCTTTAACACATGCTTATAATGTGGAAATGGACAGTTAAAGTTTTTCCTGGCATGAAGGTAAGTCACATCATGTGGCAAATAACCCATTAAGCCTCTACTAAAAGGACTAAATGGAGCTGCGGTGGCTCAAGTGGTTAAGACACTGAACTGCAGGCTGTGGAAGGTCAGTAGTGCAGCAGTTTGAGACCTGGGTGCCGCATGATGGAGTGAGCTCCCATCTCTAGTTCCAGCTCCTGCCAACCTAGCAGTTTGAAAGCAAGAAATTGCAAGTAGATAAATAGGTACCACTTTGGTGGGAAGGTAACAGCGTTCTGTGAGCCTTGGTGTTTAGTCATGCCGGCCACATGACCACTGAAACGTCTTCGGACAGCGCTGGCTCTTCGGCTTTGAAACGGAGATGAGCACCGCAACCCTAGAGTCGGATTCGACTGCCTTTCGAGCAAGGGAACCTTTACCTTTTTAAAAGGACAGAACATTCTTCTCCAGGCAACTGCCAACCCTATGTGACAAACTGGATTTATCTGATGGCCTCTATGTGAGAAGGGAGCACACAGACTTCACAGTTACCAAGGTTCTATCTTCTCTGGTCAGTTTATAACAACTGAGTGGAGTACAGGACTTTATATCATTCCGATTAAAGAAGACTTTCTTATCAAGCATCCTGAAGAATTCTTGTGACTTGGAAAAGTTGCTTTTGAACCTGACTGGCTTCTATTTGTCAGTTCGAAGAAAGGAGGGGAGAGGAGAGAGAGAGGCCATCAGTGCTGAACTGCTGACACTTGAAAAGGATAGGACAAGTTGTTCCCCCAAGGGCACTACGGTCGGGGAGTCAAAATCTCTTGGTAATCCCAGGCCCCAGGAATATCAAATTTGCTGTCACCAGGGCCAGGGCGTTTTTGGTGGCGGCTCCTACCTGGTGGAACGAGCTCCTGGAGGAGATCCCGGCCCTGCGGGACCTTGCGCAGTTCCACAGGGGCTGCAAGATGGAGCTCTTCCGCCAAGCTTTTGAGTAGGAGCCGCCGCCACCACTATTCCATCATTGCTACCCCCCATTATTGCACCTCAACCACCAATTGTGCGGATATTAAATGGGGTGCAAGACGTCCCTGGATGAAGACAGGATGGTTGTGCTGCTAGGAGGTACGCTGTTGGCCTGGAATTAATAACTTTTACCAGACCCCCATCTTGCAACTATTGATTCTGTGACATCTAGAGCACCGACACTTTAGTGTTTTGTATTGTATTGTTTTATTCTGTTTTTATCTGTTTTAACTTTGGCACTTGTGCCTCTTTGTTAGCCGCCCTGAGCCTTCGGGGAGGGCGGGATATATATCCAATAAATAAATAAATGAATAAATTCCAGGTGGCAAAGCATCTGCTGTGGCTCTATGCCAGAAGGCAGCAACTCAACCAGACTCTCCGTGGCACCAGGTAAGAAAATTGGTGCCCTGCGGCTCAAAAAAACCAGAGGAATCTTTCCTGGGCAGCTCTTCTTTCCTGGCTTTGGATTGGTCTAGTGATTCTGGCTGGGAAAGTCCTGTCCCTTCACAGCCACAGTAGCTGTGCTCTTCTTCGGAATCATGGCATGTCAGAAATGTATTTCAGCCACTACTTACCTTTATTGCTGGAGGAGCTGCCAAGTGCCAGGAACATATTATTATTATTATTGTTATTATATGTGATGGGTAACTAATTATTTACAGCCTGGGGAGCTTCAGATGTATGAAGACATCAACAGGACAACAAGGCAGAATGTCATCCCAGATTTATATCTGTGCTTATTATGGCTATTTCAAACACAAAATAAAAAACTGTTACACAAAAATCATACAGTCTCCCTCATCATTCCTACAAGAGTAGAAATTGCTAGGAAATAGAAAACAAAAACAAGCCTGTGTTGAATCCTGATATAAGATAGTGTGGGATGAAGCACTGGCAGCAAAATTAACTTTTAATTTAATGAAATGTGAAAGATCTGACAGATTGGGCTTGCTTAAATTTATTTAGCAGCCCTTTAATATTCTTGTTTATTAGTCTATATGTAAAACTTTATTTTGAAAACCGATCTTTATTATTCATAAGAACATAAGAGATGCCAATGTTGGCTCAGGCCAAAGGCCCATCCAGTCCAACACTCTGTATCACACAGTGGCCAGAAATACCAGTGCCATCAGGAGGTCTACCAGTGGGGCCAGGACATTAGAAGCCATCCCACTGTTGACCCCCCCAAGCACCAAGATGACAGAGCATCACTTCCCCCAGAGTCCCTATCTATACCTTGTGGCTAATAGCCACTGATGGACCTCTGCTCCATATGCTTATCTAATTCCCTCTTGAAGCCGTCCATGCTTGTAGCCGCCACCACTTCCTGTGGCAGTGAATTCCAAGTGTTAATCACTCTTTGGGTGAAGAAGTACTTCCTTTTATCCATTCTAACCCGACCGCTCAGCAATTTCATGGAGTGCCCACGAGTTCTTGTATTGTGAGAAAGGGAGAAAAGTACCTCTTTCTCTACCTGCTCTTTCCCATGCATAATCTTATAAACCTCAATCATGTCACCCCTCAGTCGTCGTTTCTCCAAGCTAAAGAGCCCTAAGCGCCTTAACCTTTCCTCATAGGGAAAGTGTTCCAACCCTTTTATCATTCGAGTTGCCCTTTTCTGCACTTTTTCCAAAGCTATAATATCCTTTTTAAGGTGTGGTGACCAGAATTGCACACAGTATTCCAAATGAGGTCTCACCATTGTGCATGAGGTGTTGCCTTTGTGCTACATGGAAAATTCCTAGTAAGATAGCGGCTAGACGAAATAACTGTTGTAATAGGTGATTTTAACTACCCACACAATGATTGGGTCAATATGTGTTCAAGTCGGGAAAAAGAGATTGAGTTTCTAGACACTCTCAATGAAACAGAGAGTATAAACGGCAATTTTCTCAGTGGAGGGTGGTAAGTAGTGGCGTACCCAGGGATCAGTACTCAGTCCAATGCTTTTTAACTTGTTTATTAATGATTTGAAGTTAGGAGTAAGCAGTGAAGTGGCTAAATTTGCAGATGACACAAAGTTGTTCAGGGCGGTGAGAACCAGAGAGGATTGTGAGGCACTCCAAAGGGATCTGTCAAGGATGGGCGAGTGGGCGTCAACGTGGCAAATGAGGTTCAATGTGGCCAAGTACAAAGTGATGTACATTGGAGCAAAAAATCCTAACTATAAATACACATTGATGGGGTCCAAAATGGCAGACTGACCAAGAGAGAGATCTTGGAGTTGTAGTCAATAACTCACTGAAAACATCGAGACAGTGTGTGA